AATCGTCGAGCGGTATCACTGCTCTCTATTCATATCAATAATATCACCGATTGCAAGACGACAATGAGACCAATCGACGAAATGAGGGCCGGCTCTACACGGCACGGATGTCCTTCGGCGTTCCTCGAAAAGTCTCTGAAAAAGGAAAATCGAATCTCATATACTTGGATGACACTAGGGTGCGAAATCGATTTTGAGACACCTTTATATCGTTTCGTTGTAATTTCGCGAGAAACGACGGAGATTCTTATCCTTTAAATGAAAAGATCGTCCTCCGAGACAATTTTTTTTCTCAAATCAATATTGCACGACCATAAATGTGTGTGCTTCGCGTATAATTCGCGATAAAATTCTATTTATAACTTTACGTATCGTCGTAATATAGAAAACACACGTGTACATACATATTTGAAAAAATAACACAACATAACATAACACATAAAAAATATGTATATATCAGGATATATACATCGGGATATAAAATTAAAAACAGGCAACTCGTGCAAATTATTATCTATAAAATAATATAAAAACATTAAAATAATCTTTAAACTTTATAAATTCCACTTTATAGCGGAATTTATACACAGTTTAAAGATTATTTTAATGTTGTTTTTAAATCAAATATATAGATTTTAAATTTATCAGAAAAATTTATTATTTGCAATATTTTTTTATGTATCAGACAGTTAAAAATGGTATCCATATAATCGGTTTTCAGGAATGACCTTTCGATTTAATGAAAATTAAAAGTTCAAACATTTTTCACTCAAGTATTGAAATACTTTATGCCTCTGTTTTATGCCTCTACTTTCTCGAATAACGCAGATTCATGAAAAAAATTACATTGTTGTTGAATAATGAGAAAACTTTAATGTTTAAATCGTTTGTAATCAGTCTTTTTGCCCCACATTGTATCGTCGGAAAATATATCCGCTCGCGATACGCGTTTTGTCATCAACAAAATCATTCGGAAACAACGTTGAAATAGCGGCAAACGAAAAAACTCGATCGTTATTTCAACCGTGAAATGGCGAATTAAATTGCCCGAGCTTTTCGCCGAAGTAAAATAGAGGAGAGACAGAAAGTTTTCGTTCGCCGTTCCTTAAAGAAGTCGAGTCACGCTTAAAAAGTTAAGTATCTCTGAATCTGTGTAGCAACTTTGAATTGTGCGAAAGAAACTCTATGTATACCGTAAAAATCGCGAAAATGCATTACGTACATTCGAGATTCTTCGCACAGTTTACGATCAGCTTTTTATGAATCGCATTTGTAAAGCGTAACAAAATGCCATACACGTATAAGGGACGACAATCTTTACGATGTAATCACAAAGAAAAATTCAGAATAAAGTCAAGTACGATGATAAAATTGGACGCATATTCAAAACAAGATATTGTAATAAAATATAAATCACAATTATTTTGTGATATTATAAAACGAAAGACTCCGGTTGCGAAAGTTGTCGAGACGACAGTAAAGTTACGAAACTCGCACACAATGACAATGTCAATAGTCCACGAAAATTCACTTCTCTTTGCTGTTCTCATTTTTGCAACACAATTTGAAGTTCAAGAAAGTTACAACACAGTCAGCACGAATAAAAACGAATGCGTTGAAAAACGGAAAATTTTAATTATTCACTCTAGATATTGCATATATTGCGAAAAAGGGGATGCGGAATGTGTGGAATAATTACGGCTATTACCGAGACATTAAAAACAAAATATGAACGTTATCAACCTCGCGCGAAAGAAAATTTAAAATAATATATCATCGTCGATCACATATCACGTAAAAATACCGTTAATTCTTCAAGCCAATGTTAATTCTGCGTGCGCGAATAATCAATATCGTCTAATCAAATTAACATTTGTCGGCGAACGGTCCTCTCCGTGCGAACACGCATGAATTATAGACCGGCAAACTTATCTTCGCTCTTTCTTTCTCTCTTTCTCTCTCTCTCCAATGTTATACTTATTGTTGCAAATTGCTATTATATGACCGTTTATCTTGACAATGGCGTAATTCGGACTTTGAGATACGATGGATTCTTGCGAGATATGGATCATTTATCTCCCAAAAGACCCGATCTGAAAAAATCACAATCGACGATCGCTTTGAAAAGAACGAGACCATTTTAATCTTTTTGTTTAAAATTTGTAATGCTTTGTACTTACAATTAAAATTATGCACGTATTACCGTGATCCAATGTACCGTTGAAATAAAGCTGGACTTTACGTCTACGATATTTAACCGTGACGATTGTAAATTAATGAGATTTCTAAGATCCAACTTTTAATCATCCGAACTTAACTGCGATAAAATTAAAGCTTGATGAGATTTTTCAAATAATTACATCGGCCAAATTCACGCAATCACCATGAGAATTAAATGAAAAAAAAATTAGCATAAAAAATATTGGGAAAAATATGTAAAATTACACGACGGATTACAAATCTATAACATTTCCATTATTTGTATAATTTTATACCTATTATTACACATATTCATGTAATTTTATACATTTATTTTACAATGCACGCTAATCGAATAACGTTCGATTTACATAAATAGGTTATGTGCATTATTCTTTTTACGAGCGATATAATATCCTTTCATCCTTTCCTTCTTACCAGCAGGACTCCCGATTTCGGTGTCTCAAGATCGATGATAATTGCTTTTAATCCGAACTCCGATTTTCGCTCTCGCGAGGATCGCGTTTCGGGGGCGCGCGCTTACCGTGGACGACGGATTCGCCGCGTTGGCGGCGACCCTCGGCGTCGGTTCGTCGGCCGGCGTGTCACGGCCGATCACCGGACGCTTTATCCTTTCCTTATCCTCTCGAAAAGGAAGGATGCGTCTCCTTTTATCTACGCTCCCTACGTGTCCCTTTATTCGTTTCGTTTTCAACTTGTTTTCCTCACGAGAGAACGCACGCGTGTCCTCGATTTAACGAAGAGAGAGAGCAACGTTCCTTCTTCTCTCCCTAACTTCGCGACGAAACGACCGCTACCGGGGTCGGCCCGGAAGCTCGCGCGTCGTCGACGTCATGTCCCCTATCTTCGAATCGCGCACACCCACTCGCGGAAACTTCACACTGTCAACGACCACGTGCCGAGAGCGCGTATCACGACGACGCAGCGTCCGCGCCACCACCGCGAGAGGAGCGCATCTCCTTGACCGGCGAGAAGCGTAGCGTAGCGTGACGCGACGAGCCGAGCCGAGCCACCCCGAACGCGACTGACTGAACCCGCGCCGGCCCCCGAGGTGTCACCCGAGGCGAGCCCTCTCCCCCTCCCCCGCTCCTGGAACGCGACCGAACGTCGAACGTCTTCCTACGTGGCGCGCCTGCGTTCGTCCCGACGCCGGGCGCCGTTGCATCGCACGCACCCCTTCCCCCCCTCCCCCTAATCCCCCGGGGAATGTTTGTTCCGTGTTCCTCTTCTTTCTCCCTTTCTCTTTTTTTTTATCCGATTTATTTTCGCGTCTGTCGCGACATGTATTTTGCAGGTCGACCGACAGATTAAGTAGTTTACTATCGTGGTTAAGCGATTCTTAATTCCTTTTCCCGGAAGTGAGAAAGGGAAGAGATGTAGGAAAGAGTAGACCGATTATTTTAATGTCAATATCAAAATATAAAGTTTAGCGATGTATAAATAAAAAAATTTAATGATATTACGATGAATTATTATTGTTACGCAATAACATTTGAGGAAAATTTTCTCTCTTTGTCATCTCTATTTTATTATCAAGGAATGTCTTATCAGAGAACGTTTCCTCATTGAAAGTCCTCTCAATGACCGAGAAGCTTTAACCTTCCATTCTGATTGAAATCTGATCATTCTTATCGATCCTCTTACAGAATTCTTGGAGAGACTTTCCCTGCAACAACCCAGCTTTATATATAGCTATTTATATGTAGACTTTTTCCAGGGAAAACCGCTATCTCACAGTCTTTGTGACCGAGTAGCTAGGATGCGATTACGCACAATCGCACGCGATCGCTAACGGAAAACGTAGGCACGCATAAACCCGGACGCTTCCGTCTCAGCATCCCCTTATCTTATCGCGTGGCTTATGAGAGACACGTGGATCTTGGAGAATTGTTACTCATTGATAATAGCATTATTTAAATTTATTGCGCGCGCACGCATATATTCACGAAAGATCCTGCAAAGGATAATTGTATGCGATGATTGTACGTTTAATTTTGCAAGAAAATATACCATTTTAATATTTATATGATTTTTAAAATCTTTCACGAAACAGACGTGGATGAAAAAAAAATCGAATTACATAATTGTATTGAAATAAAAGCGAGAATAATTAAAGAGAGGAGATTCAACCAAGAAAATCCAAGGGGATTGTTTTCTTTAGGAACACAAATAGATAAAAAGCTATCATTCTTATCACTCAATTCCCAATGCACGTCTATACCTTCGCAGAATTCTAATTCGACTTATCGAAAATTAACGAGCGGCGAATAGCGAACCTTCAAATTTTCATTAGAGGAATCGACTGCAATTTAATCGCGCGATCTGATTAATTCTGCATAAAAAAGCTCGAGATCGATTGATTCGATCTCGGAGACCGCTAGAACGAGTGACTGTGTTTCGGGGGAAAAAAAAGAGAGCGAAAGAGAGAGAGAGAGAGAGAGAGAGAGAGAGAGAGAGAGAGAGAGAGAAAAACAGTGATTTATTTCTCTCAAGGGAAACGCACCACCCTCTTATATCGCGCCGGTCGGAGTCATATTCCGATAAGGCGTACACGTGGTTATCTTTGGCCGAATCGATCGCGACGACGGCGGTGCCACTACTGTCAAGAGATTATCGGTGACCTTTTTTCCCCTCAACCAACCAATTTTTTATTTCCCAGTCCATTATTCTCTCGCGCTGATTGTACTGATGTATTCGACTAATTAAAATTCTTTCTTGCGTTAACCGGGTTTGTACTTTACGACGGATGTCACCAGGACGAATAATTTACAAGTAAATAAATATTGTCTTTTATTCGAGTTCTCCAATTCAAGATAATAGAGTAATTAAGAATGTAAAATAGCTCTTCGTTTATATTATATATATGTGTACGACTCACAAACAATGCGTCGAATTTTAGTGAGAAAATTTAAGGTCGAATTTTCTTTAGCGGAAACGTCGAAAAATATATCATTGCTATTATTCAATGTTTGAAGACATTTGGTTTTTTATTAAAGATTAAATCTCAAATCGAAAATTTACTAAGGAACATTTGGAATTAGATAAATAGGAAGCTTTCATTTTTTATTTGCGTCCCTATACATGTATCTAATTTGCCGTAGTTCATTTTCATTGAGTGAAAATTGACATCAAATTTAGAGTATTCTTAAAAGTTAGTGTAATAAAATATACGTAAAACGTATGCGTATCAAATATATTAAGGATTAAAGAAAATTCTCGACATGACTAATTTCTAATTTAGCGAAGTGACTTTGTACTTATGACGCGCATTTGCGAAATTAGGTTTCCGTTTCCACGACGTAATGGTCAATAGACATCATAAAGCGATCCATCAGTCAAATTTATGGACGAACTGACCTAAAATATATTTCACCGGAGTGCTACGCGCGAGCAAAAATAAATGCAGGTGCTCGCCTGGATCTATCTTTAGTGTGCGCGCAGGAACTTAAATTTCCAGATCAATAAAAATATCGTCAATGTTTATTTAACGGCCTGAAAATACTCGCCGATGTCGATTGAGCTCGTCTGTTGTAAAGGTCAATGGCCGTACAAAACGTTTTGATCTCAGCAATGAATAAAACGTTTTGCGAGAAAATCGTTTATTCCAAAAATATAGTCCTTTACAATATGACAAAGTTATACGATCGATACCCGTATTTTCGTATATTTCTAATTCCATCTTTCACCATTTCTAACAAATAAAACGTTTGTATTGCTTAGCAGTAACTATAGATTCTAGTAAACTATATAATTGGAATTTGTACATATTTTAAAATATTAGAATTAAATGTACATACAATTGTTGTAACAAAACTCAATAGACACCTTAATACAATTGATAATGGCAACGATAAACGAATAACTGTTAAGTTATCCAACTTATCAGACTCATGACAGTCAGTCCTTTTGAACTCAACAATTCTGATATTGTGAATCTAAATACAAGTTCGAATCGGAAATGTTATTCGTGGGAATAAAAGCATTTACGACATCTGAGCAGAGCTGGTCCAACTATCTTAATTCCTCGCACGATCGTAGTTTTTTATATACCAATCAACGGTCTCTTTAATCGCTTGTTCAAAAGGTGTAAATTGAAAATCGGGTAAATACCTTCGTAATTTAGCGTTACTCGCCGTTTTCTTATATTGACCGTCTGCCGCTGACGTATCATACATCATCTTACCCTTGAAATTGAAAGCTTCCACTAAAGTTTCGGCTACTTGCGCTATTGATTTCTCTTGCGCCTCGTCCACTGAAAATAATCATTTTTTTCTCATAACTTACCTGGCAATAAACTCATACATTCTGCAATAGAATCAATATCTGCGACATCGAAATATTTTCTAATAATAATAAAATCATTCAGATAGAAAATTATGATTTATTCAATATATTCATTGGAAAATTATATAAAAAAGATTATTAGTTCTATCATTAGAAAATATTAAGAAGTCAAAATTCTGACTATATCTGCATAAATAATTACCTGACAATATAATTGGTTCCACAGAATCATATTCTCGCAAGACCCAAATTATTAATTTTGCTAAGTCTATGCTATAAATAAATTGCCTTAAAGGCTTGCCAGAGCCCAGCACAGAAAATACTTTATTCTCTGTATTTCCTGATAAAAAGATATTAGCTTAATAATAAATTCAAATCATATATATATATATATATATACAAGGTTTGATTACGTACCATCTTTGCACAAGTCATAAAGTCTTCGCATTAAACCAGGTATAACATGACTTGCACTGGGATGGAAATTGTCATAAGGACCAAAGACATTGCAAGGAATTACACTGGTGTACAGTCTGCCATGCTGGTCATGATAACCTCTGTTTGCGATATCTATAAGCCGTTTGGCATAACTGTAACCATAATTCGAGGGATGTGGCGGTCCATTGTGAACCTAGAAAATATATTTATATATATATTAGTTATTTTTACATGTATTTATTATAACAAGCATATTCAATATATTTGATATCATTACCATGGTTTCATCGATTGGATAAGTCGTCTTATCTGGAAATATACAAGTAGAAAGGCACGAAACAACCTTGGCAACATTATGCTCGTGAGCAGTGTGGAGAACGTTGTCGTTCATGTGTATATTATTCCGCTGCAAAGATAAAATTTAGTGTTAAGATCATGTGACAAGACATACATCTAAATACAATTATAATATGAATGACACCAATTCTTTTGAAATATTTACCAAAAAGTCCAAATTGTGTGACATATTATGAAAAAGCCCGCCGACCATGGCAGCTAGATGAATAATGTGTGTCGGTTTGTGCTGATCGAATAACCTACGAGTGCTCTCCTTATCGCTGTGAAAAGACCATTTAATTAGGTTAGGAATTACATAAAAGTTATAATTCACATCGTTTGTTAACGATTTAACTCACCACAAATCCGCATCTTTGGACCCAACAAATATCCATTTCTCGTCCTCTCTCCTGTCATGTTTGATGACACTTTGAATAGCTTTGCCAACAAGTCCCGAACCTCCAGTTACGAGGATGATCTTCATGTTGTGTCAAGAGCAAGAGCGACTCTTTGTGGCAGGATATGTATTATATTTACAGAAGACAAAAATTAATTAAAAATGCAAGTGAACATAAACACAAATGTTGACAGAAGCCGCAAGCATGCCGATTAGATGTTTAGAATCTCTCGACATCCGTGCAAGAAGGTGCAAGTGCTATCTATCGAATTTATTATCTATTATCTATTATTTACTATTTATTATCAATTGATAATAAAAACGCGCGCAAAATATAGCTAGATAAATTTCCGGCTAGTCACGTAATGTAAATGATCGATTGTCGTTATATTTATCACGCATGAGTCAATTCAACACACGCGGAAAATACGAAATTTAATATTTAAAACATATGCATTACCTTTTGATAAAAAATCGCGAATGAAATTAATGATATTAAGATAATATATTAATAAGAATGATGAGATTGAAAGAGCTTATATATGTTAAAAATCGTATTTTAACAAAATATTAGATATAAGAAGTATGTTTTTACATATTGCATATAATACATTAAAATTATATTTTCGCGACTTTTTCTCGTTACATTATTTGTTCTAGTATATGTTATCGATTGAATTATAAAGTATAAATAAAAATGAGATAAGAAACGATTAAAAAAAAAAAAAAAAAAAAAAAAAAAATAAAAAAAAAAAAAAAAAAAAAAAACGAATTGAGGCGATTAATCAGTTGGACTTCGAGTAAAAATAATATTAACTTAAGGAAGTCCAACATAATGACTGATAATATTATCGCACAAAGAGAAAACAGTTTTTCCTGGTTTAGTATAATTACATTGACTACTCGGAAATTGTCGCAATACTGCTGTATTGAACATAAACAACGTTCGATTGCGATAACTTGACAATCAATCATTGTTTCAGCAAACAATAGCCAAAGTATTTTGTGACAAAAGTTAAATCGACATTGTTGCCAAAGTTGCATCATGTTTTTCCATTTGTATATTTAAAAAAAAAAACAACTTTATATCGATAAAATCATGTAATATTGTAATTCTGTATCAAGTAAGTATATCAAATGTTTTTGTTGCTACAGTAGATATAAAAATAACTGTTTTATACATATACACATAGATTCACAATGGACTGCCATTCTTTGAATTATACTTATAACATTCTTTGAACATTAAAACCAAACAGCTTATAGATATCGCAAACAAAAAATTACCATAATCAAACACAGATCACACTAGTGTAATTTCTTGAAATGAAAAAAGAAAACTTGTTGCAATTGTTTCTTTTGCGACGCGCATTATTAGGTCGCATTAACAACATATTATTCACAAAAAGTCGAAAGGTAAAGAATGGTGGCTATTATAAGAACTTCTTTATTTTACTTATTTCCATTTAAAAAATAGAGATCGATTTGCTTAATAAACAATTCCTTAACCATGAATTATCATCATAGATAAATGTATAATTGCAACAAAACTTTCTAGTCAACTTAATTATACATAAATTCGGCACTTATATATGAGCTATATATTTCAGCTGGAGAAATAAAATAGGATTTTTTTTTCTTAGAATATCCTAGGTAATAATATATAATTTCAAGTACTAGTATACGCGTATTAAATACAACTTACAGTAACGCCATTGTTGCTAAATCTAATAATAAAAAACAAAAAGGCGATGTGAATGGCAAATCACTATTTTTGAGCTTCAACCTTTTCTATACATATTCAAAGTAATTATTTATATAGGGACCTAAAGAAAAAAATATGAAATTGTCAATAAATTCCTGATTTTTTGTAATACCAGTTTTGTTTTTTTTCATAGCTCGCAAGAAGAAATGAGTATTGGTCATAGAAGTGCCAAAATTCACATTCGAGCCACAAATGTGATTTTGACGAGATTGCTGTATAAGAAGTACTTTAGAACTTTTCTCTGAGAACTTTTTATAAAAATTTCGAAACTTTATTAGGCCCCTAAGTACATCTATCATGTTTCAAGCAGATTACAACAGGCTGAAAAAATGTTGCTTGCTAACTAGTATCAAGCGTTAAACGAGAGGGTAACTGGCACTGCTCGCTATACCACAGTGATTATCCTTATTCCTGGCCATCTTAATGTAACCTTTCTCGCCCCATGTTTCACCCCAACTGTTCTTCACCAGCCAATAATCCTCATCAGTTTCCGAATCTGTGCCATAACCAACAACCAGGACACCATGATCCAAATTTTCTTGACTACATTCAGGATCGTAATAAACTCCTGAAAATTGTGAACAATTTGAAGCAAAAAAGAAAAAAATTCAAAGCAAGGAATAGATTACAAATAAATCCATGATTTTTTTATAATATATAAATAAATTTTATATATAAATAGTGAACTTATTGCCAGATAAAATTTTACGTTTTTTATTATATATATATATATTCAATATTGATTATATGAATAACATGTACCTTCACTATAAAGATGGAAAGACTCGCGAGAGGCATCAATGGCAACCGAGACCGGACCTATGGTGGCAACCGCAGCTTTCAATTTGTTCTCATTTCCTTCTGGAACGTCCACAAAGCCGACGTCGGAAGCGCCGCTGTTTCTCGGATTGTATCTGTAATTTCAGGAATGTAATAAGTCATCAGATTCTACGAACAAACGTTTCCGTCACGCATAATTAATACACACACACCTGCATCTGTCATTCTCCGCTTCGTATGGATAACTCTTTTCAGTATCAAGGCCTCTATTATCCTTTACATATCGGAAAGCATTATCCATCAAACCACCGTTGCATCCATTGTTGCCATATTTGCTGGAACAATCGACCAAATTTTGTTCGCTCAATGATATCAAAACACCAGTTCGTCTAAAATGCTGTCCTTCCAAAGCTCCGGTCTGCAAGAAAGAGAACACAATAGATAATCCTTTATAATGACAAAACTATCAAAAAAAGATTAAGAACTGCACACATAAAAAAAACTTAAAAACATTAAAACCATTTAAAATATATTAAATAATTATGCTACTTGAATATGGGTTTAAATATCAATTTTAACAAATTTAAATATCAAATATCAGATTTAAATATCAAATATCAGTTCTAATATATTAGAAAATATTGACATTGTTTAAAGTTGAATTGAGATATCAACATCGAAAAGGTATTGAAACAGGCTTACTGAAGAAAATGCCCAGCAGGATCCACATTGTTCCTGATCCTTAACTTCAGTGACAGCGCCTTCTTTTCTCCAATCGACTTCTGTTGGTAACTCAACATTAGCTGGCTCAATGAATGTTGCTCCCGGAGACTGTAACACTTCGCTAACACTCACAGACTTGTTGAAGCCATTCAAAGTATTGACCACTTCATGATGTAACTATAAGAAAATATGTATTTCTCAGAAAATTGCTCATCCTAATTTTTTAATCATACAATTAATCATACAATTCACTTTCCAGAACTCACCATATCTCCATATTTGTTCATTCCTAGTTTGTAGTTAACTTCCTTCATCTCATATCTGCGATTGTGTTCAACAATTTTGCGCTTGTTATCCAAGAAAATTTTCATTCTATATCCCTCTTCAATCGGGGATTTGTAAACTTTTTTATGATGTGTCTGAGAAATAATAACAAATATAATTAATATTTATTATTTTTCAGTAATTCGAATAATTAGTAGAAATATCTCAAGTTTTAATACATCTTGCAATAAATTCGTTTTTTATTCAAGAAGAGAACGCGTGCGCTTGCTGTAAAATATTAACTTTGCTTTATTTTTGCCTGTAATATTCACAATTTTCTATTCAAACGAGTCTCTTTATAGTAATCACATCTTGAATCATTCTATAGCTCTGTTTTACTCTAGCAGTATTGGTTTAGATAATATTTGCTAAGCAAACATTCTACAGAAGGGAAATATGATTCAAGAAATAAAAAATAATCTGTAATTGATATATTATGAACAACATCTATATCCTGTTACTATTTATAGAACTAGTAATTGGATATAGAGGAAATAAATATAATGCAAGATGCAATCATTGTAAATGCAATGATCTTATACCTTAAAAATAAACCATTCCGCATCTAGAATTTTGTTAAAGGAGATAGCTTGCCCTGTGGCAACTACTGCCAGCAACAACAGAGCCACAACACTCTTCATGATTACTCTTCAACAATTTACCTAAAAAGATAAATTTTTTAAAATATTAAACTCCAACTTAATATAAAAAACTTGTTTTTCAGAAATTATATAAAGATCGAATATAAATATATGAAAATTTCATGACAATCGTCTAAGTTAATAGCTTATTCGATATTATTAAACAAACTCTCAAATTTTATATTATTACAGTTATATATCTTAACATGTTGATTGCCAAACAGAAATTGAATAGCTGACTATTCCATTACTTGGAAATATGTTCAGTTTGTACAGTAATATCGGAAAAAGATAGAGATCAACAGCTGGATCACACATTTCAGAAACTTGAATACTCATGATCCACAGGTGGACCACATGGTCTCAGTGTGTAGAACAATATGATCATCCATGTAGTCACATGGCAGTCAACGTTAGAGATAAGAATTTTCGAGATACAGTTTACATCGCTTTCAATACTGTAAACATTAAGTTATTGATAAATAAAGATACATTAGATAAACAGCAAACCCTATTAATATTGGCCTTTATTTAACAAGAATTTTATTCCGTGCATCATGCGTGACTAAAATTTCAAAAATAACGCGTAACATTTGTGAGAAGCATTACGTCAGTCTGATTGTCGTTCATTTTTGCATATCGCGGTTATCGCCCCGTATGAAGTCGTATCTTTTTACATCGGAGAGAAAAGCAGCTTCATTTTTTTCTGATAATGAATGAATAAAAACCGAAAAAATGAATGCATTTATTGTAACGTTGCGAGCAATATGTGTACGTATGTGCCAATGAAATGAAAATCACGATTAAGATTGCGCTCTATCTACTATTTTATTTTCTTTATCCTCCGAAGGACAAGTGATCGTTCAAGCGACGTCAATTATCCCATGAATATGATTGCGGTTTTAATAATGCAGCGGATGACGCATATTTCTCGCAACAGATACACCGAGAGATAAACCTAGCGCGGAGACAATGCTAACAGTAATAATCGCCTCGCTCCGACCTAATGTCAGGTTTTTCCCCCACGAAAGACGCACGTGGAGATAACGGATTTATCGGGATATCGAAAAATGAGCCCGACTCGTGTGTCAAACTATAACATTTCCGGGTACGGACGAGTAGTATGTCCCGGAAGATTTTTTTCATTCCATGGTCATACAAGGTCTCTTATCTTTCTCTGTTTCTGTTGCGTAAATTTCGGACTTTATCGGTTCTTCGAACATTTTTTACCGAGACGCAATTTATTCATTCTGTTAAGAAGTAAAATTTCAGATTAAAACAATGTTACAGCTGCCAATGAATAGCAAGCAGATAATGAGAATCCTTTACGTTTCAAATATATAAATTCTAAAATTTTTGATGACCCAAATTCGGAAGTTATATATGACATTCCAAGAAAATAATTAACATCAAGAAGGATATTCGTCACGAAATATTAATAAGATATTTCTGAAATTTTAGATCTCTTACGAGAGAGAGATGATTTTGTAAGACAAAATAAAATACATGTATATTACACTGCCATTGTCTAAACGCACGATGGCATCTGCTGTTCTTTTCCCAGACAATACAAAAGACGTTCTAAAAAACATTTGAAAGAGTCTCATTATCCTTTACACATTTTTAAGATGTCTTTTGGTCTTTGTGTGCTATCTGAGTTATCTGCTGTTTCTGTACGTTCAAAATTATATAGTCATATATTTGTAATCTCTACAGTACTTTTAAGGTATCGCTTAATTTAATTCGATTTCTTACAAATGAAAGATGTATTGTGTGTGTGAATATATATACATATGTATATAATATCAAACGTTATCTTTCCGGTTGACGAAATCACGTGATTGTAAATACTGCGCGTTTCGAGATGTTAAAAAAGAAAAAGTATTATAATCTAACTACGCACTAGATAGGTTTTTTTATATTTTTCATGACATGCGATTTTATTGAGACGATCACGTGATATAGACAGATTGTAAATATACGTCTCCATCACGACATCGTTTGGTTTTTGTTCCCAACAATTGAATGTACGATAATTAATTTAAACAAAGACCGACGATACAGAAAATAGAATCGTTGGATTGGCAGCAATGACAATGTTATATAGGGAGCAAAAAAAAACACGTGTCATACGAACCGTGTTGACTATCGGTTTTCTAATTTGAATTCTTTAACTAATTATAACCTTCCTCCTGTTCTACATTAGACAGATTGTAAATATACGTCTCCATCACGACATCGTTTGGTTTTTGTTCCCAACAATTGAATGTACGATAATTAATTTAAACAAAGACCGACGATACAGAAAATAGAATCGTTGGATTGGCAGCAATGACAATGTTATATAGGGAGCAAAAAAAAAACACGTGTCATATGATTGGCATACGAGCCGTGTTGACTATCGGTTTTCTAATTTGAATTCTTTAACTAATTATAACCTTCCTCCTGTTCTACATTTTGTATGAAGGACAGAAAAATTGCGAGAATGACAAATGATCCCGTTGCTTCGAGTTTGGCACTTTTTCATCGATAACATCGTATCTAGATATATTCGCGTGCACCGTGACAGATGCGTCGAGGACGCTCGATTAACCCAAACAAAGCCTAATAGTAAAATCTACACCATCAGATTATGAAATTGCTCCGTTTATTCAGACGCATAAAAGATACACACGTATAGAAAAACCGGATCTTACGCGCATTTGACAGTCGAACGTCCCATTATTGTGTTTTATGAATCAAATACATAATAGGTTGCTTTCTCTCGAAACAGATGCTTCGCACGGTTATACAAACCTAAATAGATCACGTCCTGTATGCAAGAGACGAAACGTATAGATATATCAAAGCTTTAGAAGAACAAGGAATGCGAAAAACCAAGTTTATATTCGGTTTAGTAACTTTACGCTTCGATCTCTTTCTTTTTTCTCTCTAGGAATCAATCTACGCATTATTCAATTTCGAAACTCGCGAATAATTACCCCGTAGATATGTACTCACCAGACTGTTCTCTCTCTAACGAAAAGAAACGATTAGATTAGCGCGAGTTGCGAGGATCAACCACCTGCGACGAGCGAGCGACGACGACTGGCGATAATTTCGCGTCGATCTTTTGTTTGTATACCTCCCGAGTCATCCCCACTCTCTGTCCCAAGCTGAAACGTCATCGTTTTTCAACGGCCGTAACAGCCGTAGACTACGTGATTCATTGATGGTCGATCGCAGTTTGTTTATTCATCGAATTCCAACGCGCGGGACGAGTCGTCCCGGATGACCTTTTACACCCTTTGTGAAAACAAGATTGATGTATCAGCATGTGTATGTATCATATACGCATGATTATACGATGTTACGCCCGAGTCATGTGCCCGCGATAAACGAATATCAAGTAACCCAGATTTGTAATCGTCTCGAGGGGAAGCTATACGCAGAATGGCTCTTTTTCAAAGGCGGAAACGATAAACTCGCGATCAAAGCCACTTTACGATTAATTCCCTATCTTTTTGCGTCGTTTTTGGACGATAAATCGAACAATGACAGAAGCCATGACGCATTATTTTAGCTTTTCAGAAAACAAAATTAATAACTCCACTTTCGTAAATTTCTTAATTTTAGTATCAAATCATATAACTCTGTGTGTATGTCTGATTAAAATTAAGAAATTTAAAAAAGGTTGAGTCGATCAATTTATTTCGGCGTTTGAGAGGCTCGTTGTACATTATATATTTTCTTCTCACATATAAAGAAAAAAAAGATATATTTATATTATATAAATATGTATATGTATATATACATATATTTATACGAGAAATTTTTTATATATTTTTAATATACGAAATGAAATTAAAAACGTTTTTGTTGAGAATAATATTGTGTGCGATACCTTTTGTGTATTTTCGAAGGAATCGCAGCGAAATTAAACACGTGAAATTGTACGTGTTGGAATTCGACGATTCGTAGAATATTTCTAGCTTAAGAAATTGTTTGTCTAAATGTTATTTTGACACGATGCCCATGAAAGTATATATTTGAATCGGAATTTCATGACTCGCGAATTTCACGATCGATAATAGTCACGCACGTTTTTGTTCACGTGATAAAACAGAGAAGCAAGCAAGCAAAGGAGCGAGCAAAAGTACGTCGAGAGGAGAAATCATGTCCTCGAAGAAGGAATATTATAATGTCACGCCTGAACAACGTGAGATTTCGTTATGGAGAGACGCTAAACGCAGAGAATTGCGCGAATTGTACCTGAAGCATTCGGGACACCCGACCAAGAGCCTCCTGGTACGTATATACGTATACGAAACACCTAGAACCTAACCTCTACAAACATCTGCGATATTTACTATCTCGCAATCGAGATATTTTATTTAATATACTTTATTCGTTTACTCAATTATAATTTATGATGGGTCCCTCGCATTTAACGTTAAATTATAATAAACGACATCTTGATTTTCATGTTGCATTAGTAAAAATATCATACATGCTCAATATTTTTTAAATGACAGCAATATTAAAGTATAATGACGATGGCGAAGGAGAAATTCATGTTCCGTTTGTAAACACATAACAAATATAAACGTACATGTGTAATATTTTGAGTATGCTTCATGTTTTACAATTTAGAAATGTTCGTACAGAAATTATGTAACAGGCTTATGACACGTCTATTAAACATAGCAGGAGCTATAGTTATGTCATGTAATTTAGTAATGTGTCGTTACAAAAATAATTTCTTTTTGATAATTTTATTAATAATGTACGAATTAATTTTTTTTTTAAATATTTACAATTACTCATTCTATTTATGTAGTTCGATACAGGAATACACAGATTTGCCGCGACGAAATCGTCGATAGAACAGTTTTTTGTACCTACAGTAGCAAATTTTATTACAAGAATGGGATTTGTTGTGAGTTCTATTGTCCTCACTGCGATTTTGATCAAAAAAAGAAAGGTAAAATAGATATTTTTAAGGAACTTGTGATACATGAAAAATGAATCACGTACTGCAATATTAAGATGTACTTCAACACTGTATTTCCCGCAGGATGCACGAGAACATTTATATCGTACTGGGCAAGTCAGTTATGCGGACAGAGATTATAAATTTCTCTAAAATATTAGATACATAATTATTTAGCAAAATATAAGCGTAGTTGTAATGTATCATTGTATAACGGAATAAATTATCAAAACATAATACTAATTTTAAATGTAACACTAGAGAGAACCAAGATTTTTCAAAAAAAATATGAAGGTTTTTGTAAAATTTAATTAATCCACAAAAAAGGCTAGTTTCAAAAATAAAAAAATGCATGTATCTAAAATATGTAACTCGATAATTAAGGACCTTATCGATTTATACCTTAATAATTAGGATAAGCTTTATACAGATACATTATATATATTCTCTTGATATAGTTTTTTTCTTTTTCTATTACCGATCTTCAAGTTGTTTATCACGCGCGACAACAGCATCGTCGAACTTAACCATATACGTAGTTCCCTTGTGCCAGTGAGCGGTTACCTTTGCAGGCTGCAATAATTAAAATATTTTTGCAAATCTCTCATCGCATAAAAGTACATAATGCAAATTAGATTGAAAAGATTATTTTGAAATTGACAGAGAGATTACTTACAAAGCCGCAGTCGCAAAGTACAGCTTCTACGATACCGGCGACGAAGGAGGCGCAGTTCAAGCTTCCCTTGTCCTTGGGTACAGATACAAATTTATTTACCAGAGATTCCTTCTCGATGATGTAATATGTACGCTCGTCGTCGTTGGCATGTTCCAGCTTGTCGGCCTCCCGGCCAAACAGGGATTTCCACATTGTACTTTTGATGAATAACAATACGTTGAGCAATTTTATCTCGCGTTTACCATTCTTTTCTCGCATCACGAGCAAATCAGTTATCCTGTGGCCGACCTCGGCTCCCATTTCCGCCAATCTAGTTGCGATAAATAAAAGATATATTTTAATAAGTGCTAAAGAGATAATTTTTAGGGGAAATTGATTCGTTTCTCTTACTTATTTTGTAGCTCCGGAACGGTGTAGACTCTGTTTTGACAGTACTGTACGAGTTCGGAGAACAAGAGGGCAAAACAACTCAGGCTAACCTCTCCCTTACCTTTGCTCAACGATTTATCGAGGATACTGGTTCGCGGTCTTATGGCTGATATCGTGATGCTCGACATTTTTAAATAATTATTTCTTATATATTCGCATCACGGATGTCATGTAATTAGTATATCAATATATTCTCAGAAACGCTACAGCTGTCAAATTTATGTTTTCGTGAACATCGCCATTTTTTTTTTCTGTGATAGTCTTGACATCTGACGACACAACGTGGAATTATTTCAACAAGGGAAGCAGGCAACGGAGTAGATGACTATTTATCTTGAAGACAAGTTTTTATTTGTAGGACAATATAATTATACAATTAGTTTATTATTTTTGAAAAACAAACTAATTGTATAATTATATTGTTGTTTCTGTGCTTTATACAAATGTAGTACACAATTCAGCTATCGTTCTGTTGCAATTCTATTACTCGCATTATACATAATGTGATTCCTTAGAGATTATATTTACGTATATAATGCTTTGAGATTAGAAAAATGAATAAATAAATGTAATATTGTACAAATATCTGCGTAGAAAATATTTTTTATGCAAATAATTTTTGTAACAGTTTTTTAGATGGATAGTACTTCGAAACCTCTCCCATATATGCACAAGACACTGCTGCAGCTGTAAACACAATATCAATTTTTTTTTTATCAGGATGAAGTAAGAAATGATAATGACATTCAACAAATCTTTGAACTTACTCATCGGAAGGCCATAAGTCCATGCCTTGCACATCTGTGACAGATGTAAAAACTTGATTCAACATTTTTGCAGATATGACTCCATGGGACCATGAGTAACTGTGGACAATAACTTGCTGATCTATTCCCACGCTACATATCTGATCATTGTCTTTAAATTTCAGGCCTATCAATATCACACGGTTATAAATCTTTAAGTTTGTGGAATGTATCATATATATTATTTGCTTAAAACATGATAGTATTTACATACCTGTAATTTGTGCGGAATGTGCAGATGCTGTATTCCATTTGGTCAATATTACAGCTGACAATGCATCGTCTTCCGATATACAAAGTTGAAAACAAACGAGATTGAGAAGATTGTCGTCGCCACCAGTGATCAAGAGATATCTATCTTCATCTATATGCTTTAAATCGAAAGAATTAATCCCTGACTGATGCAAGCTAAATTCTGCAAAAGGATCGTCACTGAAGTCTATGATATCTTGGTTTTCGATATTTGCATCTTTGTATATTTTCGAGATTATATCGGTAAAATTGAAAAAACGTAATATTCCATCAGTAGTCATTGTTAATACGATCACTTTGGATTTATGCGATAATATGTACATTTTTAAGATACAACGGTCTATATATTTGGTAGATACTTTCAAACATACGTCATTGGTTGTGATACTATATACAAATAATCTGTAACAGGATATCACAACAATATTATCCTATTAGCATGGATTGATAAATAGATAAAGTAGATCAAGTTACCTCAAGTATCCGTCTGCACAAGCTATAAAGATTAACACATGATTGGCATTCTCAGAAGAATAATATGTGCAAATATCCATGTAACGCGTTTCTGGTTCCATAACATAAGATTGCTTAGATTCCTGCCAAGGTTTTCTGCGATATTGATCTTGTCCATAAAGCATATGAGACTTTATATCAGAGCACGATAAATCGTTTGATAATATCCGATCTTTATGTTTAAGTCTTATTTCCCAGATTTTCAATTGTGCTCTTCCTCCGCCAGAAAAAACTAAATATTTGCTGTTTAAATCATCGTTTTTTTTTAATTTAATGGTGCTTATGCATTTTATGCCCGAAAGATGACCGTCAAAGTTTCCTAAATTATGGAAGACACTATGGGAATTATCTTCAAATGATTCACAAATGGAGCTTACACGAAGAGTGCAGTCTTCTCCACCAGATATGAAAATATCTTGTTTAAAAGAACCGAGTCTCGAAATATGTTGCAAACAATATGTCTCCTTTATGTGAAAACCATTCTAGAAATACAATAACATTAGTCTAGAGACAGTTGTTTTCCAAAAAATTTAGTATTATATACCTGTAAAATGGGAAAAGATGCTGAAGATAGAGGATAATCAAAAATGTAAATCTGCTTATTTTGAATATAAATGAAACTTGTTGTTTCATCCAATATCATACAATCCCACGATCTATGACCACCACCGCAAGGAATTCTGATTAGTATGCTTTCAGTTGACAAATTATATATTATAAATTCCACCTGTGCAAAAATAATTGTGATAAAAATTTTTTTCCTGTTTTTTGAATATGTATTTCATATCTATTTTATACATATTTTATTTATACCTCTTTAAAACCAAATATAAAAGGAGTACAGTGTCCATCCACTGATTTTAACATTCCACTAATCCAGTCTATTGGCATCTTTTTTCTATGCAGCATCAATAAGGGTTTTGTGTCGTCTTTATTCAGTTCGTAAAATCTCAACATTCCATCGCGTCCAGTTGTCATTAATTTTTCTTCCCATCTAGCAAACGATTGGACTCCTATTTTACCATGAACTCTATTGAGTATTTGAACAGGTTTTTCAATATCCTTATTTGCCTGCCCATTCAACTTGTATACATAAACATTCCCAGCTCTATCCCCACATACTAACAACTGTTTGTAAATTGTAGCTGCAGTCAGCCAACGTTCTCTACTGGGAGGTAATACAAAATGTGCGTCCATATGAATCCCAGCTATATAAAAAAGAATCAAATAGTAATAAGATATTTGTTTTCAGACATTTCAACATAGTTATATATATAATATACATACCATCGATTGCAAAGGTAAATATTTTCAAAAGACCATTTGCTCCACATACTATTAAGCTAGCATATCCCAACCAGTGCAAAGAAAAGATTTGTGATTCCATTATTTTTTCTTCGATAATCCGAGATACAAATCCGATAACACAATCCGCTAATACATTTTAATTTAATGATCTGATTAAAGGAGAATTTGAGTGAAAGAAATGATATACTTACAAAAAAAATTATTCACATTTTAACAATATTAATACTTGTATTGCAACAAATGTTTGTACCTCGATATATCGTTACATATCCTTCTCTAGATGCAAAAGCAACAAAGGAACGATTTGAAGAAACTTGCATGATATAATAGCTGCGATGTATTTCTGAGCTTAGAGAATATTTTGTACGCAGCATTTTTTCTTTGTCGTAACAAAACAGCATCTCACTTTCATCAAAGACCAATAAAGTGCCATTCCTCAAATAGGATATGCATTTAGGATTGTTATGTGTATCATTACTAGGCAGCGAAATTATTTTTGGATTAATATGGCGTGTGGTTTGCCACATGTATACAGATCCATCAGCTCCACCCGTGAATATTCTTTTATTGTCTTTGGATATATCGATACTCCATATAGGTGCTCCATGATGGACTTTATTAAGTAGATTACCTGAGAGTGACCACGTGCACATAAGTGAATCCTATGAAACAACAAAAGATTAATATAAAAATAAATTATAATTTTGTACACATTATTTAAATCTCACCTCTCCTATTGTCACAACAATATCATCTCTGATTATAGCTTTCCAGACTCTTGCTGCATGCACAAACATTGTTTTTACTGGGATTATTTTTGCTATTTGCCAATTTAAATTATTGCTTTCAGGATTCTTATTTTTTATCACTCTCCAGAACCTGACACTTCTATCATCGGATGTAGAACAAATAAGCCGCGAACATGAATCATAAATAACAGAGAAGATCACACCCTAAAATAAGATAAATAAGGTTTTTATATTTTCTTGTCCCTTTAAATACAAACACACCAACCTTGTGTCCTATTAAACGATGCAAAACTGGCATTCTTTCATTAATATCATAGTTGTTGTCTATTTTCCATATTAAAATTTCTTGAAATACTGTTCCACTAAAAATGACTAGGTTTTCTTGAGAAGTTCCTGATATAGATCCACCATAGCTGTATATTAATTAAGAAAAACACTGCCACATTTCAAATAAATATCAATTATTTCTGCGAGAATTAATAAAAACTGCAAAAGGATACAGTATGCATTTTTCTTTACAATGCACATCTTGAAAAGATTTTTCAAATATATTATATAAGCATAAATAATTATGGGCAAAAAGAATTGCCAATTGCATTTGTTCCTTAACAGATATCCACTCTGCAGCAATTATCCAGTCATTCAATTGATCAGTGCTTTGTTTTTCAAATCTGTAATAGGAAATTATATATTGTCGTACAAAATCATTATCATATTTTTTTTTATTTTATATTTAAATATACTCACGTCATTTCTCCTCTTTGATTAATAATGTCACAGATACATATAGATTTGGCACCGAATACAGCTAATTTATTATTTGGTCCCATCACAATGCCATGTATATTATTTGGATATAAACAATCCAATTTATCTCTCAATTCATAATTTTCGTCAAACTTGGAACGCTGGAAGACGTAGAGCGTGGGTCCCATACCTGTATTGATAATAAACAAGTGCTCTGTAATAAGTTTTGATAATTTATAATATTCTACAATCTGTCAAAAGCAAATGTGGACAATTTTGTGGACAGTTTTTTTATTAGACTAATCGAAAAATCTTTGGTATCATATCAACTAACCCACGAGTACGAGATTCTTTATGCATCGGATAGCGAGAACGTTTGTACGTGACAGTTTGGAAATCATGATCTCGCATATACGGTGATTTATAAATTATTTTATGATAAAAGAACGTGCATTGTCAATTTATTAAATATGTATAATGCGTATGCCCTGTGGTCTGTGGTTCAAGAGAGCCCTCGATAAAGAGGTTACGTTCGCGTGACGACACGCGTCAGACGTGATAACATGGGGCATAACTTCCAAGTGGATACTTCTGCAAATTATGCTGCAACATTGAAAAACAATCCCATCATTCGAAACGTTAGACGGAGTCTGCATTGGCGCGCGACGTAATCATTGTTATCGTCGACGAGAAAAGTCTCCCACGAACGTCAAGAGTGAACGAGCGAGCATGTGGGTGTTTGGTTATGGTTCCTTGATATGGAAAGCGGACTTCCCATATGAGAAGAAGCTCGTCGGCCACATCAGGGGATATGTTAGACGCTTCTACCAGAAAAGTACCGATCATAGAGGAGTGCCTAATAGGGTACGTATCTCCTGGAGAAAAATGAAAAGGCAATTTTGACATTGCAACATTCGCAGTTTGTCACTTTTTATTTGTGTATCTTCTTTTAATCATTTAAAATAATTATTTTCAAAAAAATTTGAATTATTTGAAATATCATAATTCTAATCATTTAAAATAGTTTTCCTTTTACATACACGCTGCTCTGCTTAGAATAGAACACACTTCAAAGATGGTCAATGATTTTTGCAACTTAATATAATCTGCTTTTTCTTTTCTTTTTTTAGCCTGGACGTGTAGTAACACTGCTCACCTCTACTAATCCCAACGACGAGGTATGGGGACTAGCGTACCAGATATCCACCGAGAACATAGACAATGTAGTCAATCATTTGGATTTTCGAGAGAAGGGTGGTTATAAGAAGAAAACCGTCCTTTTTTATCCCTGCAATTTCTCCAAATCTGTCCAAAGCACCTCTAATGCTAATGTCTTTTCGAACGATCTCATGCAGATGAGCATTTCGACAGCATCTTTGTCGAATGCTTCAGATGAAGCACCGTTCTACCTCACCATCTATATAGGCGAAGAAGATAATCCAAATTATGCTGGTACGGAGAATATAGATACCATCGCGAATCACATACTCGTTTCACGTGGTATCAGTGGTTCTAATACGGAATATCTCTACAAACTGGCATCCGCGATGCGTACGATAGCTCCTGGTGTACAAGACGAACATCTGTTTGCTTTGGAAAGAGCCGTAAAACAGCTGGAGGAGGAGAGAGATAATGAATCACAAGAATCGGATCAATTTTCATAAAAAGTTATGATAGTGTAAAATGGTGTATCGGAATGTAGGAAAATATGGACAATTGCATCATCAATCAATTTTTTCGAGTCCATTTAATTTAATTTTCCATCTTTAGCTTATATATAGAGAATATTTATGGTTAAGATATTTATGAAACAAACTGTATTAGTTCTTTTAGTATGTCCAAACTTAAAAATAGCTTTAATTACAATTAGTAAGTAGAGATTCTTGATGCGATTGGCTAAGAACTAAAAAAACGAAACGTTATTGCATTGTCCAAAGCAGTAACAGGAAAACTTGTAATATTTCCATAAGAATTGCAGAACATTTATAATAACCGACGATGGAGAATAAATTATCTTATTTATTAACGAAATAAATTATATTTTCATACACAAGATAGTTGCAATTTTCATGTGACAATGATTTTAACTTTCTTATGTATTAACAATTTGATAAGAAGGAAGCTTGCGATTTTGTCAAAAATTGCAATTATATAGTAACAATTTACACCATAACTTTTATAAAAACATTTCTATAAATAGTAAAATTCACATATGATAAACTTATAAAAAAGAAAAGTTCCTCTTTTGAAAAGTTGAAGTTTGAAATTCCCGCCAACACGAAACTTTCGTGGAAGCGCGTTGGCGCTCAACGATCAGCTGAATCGGCGGCGCAATAGAAAAGGGAAGGGGGAGGGGGGAAGGGTGAAGAGAAGGTTTCTTATTGTTCGACCAACCATCAGCAGCTCCGTTCAGGCTCAGTTTGGACAGTATCTCTGTTCGGTTTCTATTTATCCTCCTGGACCGAGAAACAAGACGCAGGCCAAGATTGGATGATTCGTTGACGTGAAGGCGTTTCGGACGCATCCGGGTGAGTGATCTTTTATCGTCAATTTAACTACGTTTCGTTCTCGAAATTATGAACAATGTAAAAGAGTCAATCTCGAGTTACCAAGAATGTTTCGGTCAATTGAAGAGTCGTTGCGCGTATTTTCCGTATTTTTTTCGCGGTCTCTGTTTTTCCTTTCTTTTCTCTTTAACGTCTAAATATATGCACTCATTGTCTTTCGAACATGAAAATTGCAGTCGAAAATTTATAGACTAAATTATCTTTGATTTTAATCGAATATTATTTTACCTTGCATTTATTCTTTAATAATAATAATAATAATGGAGTTATGTCATTTGTCATAGAAAGATCGTTCCATTGTTCAAATTCTATAAAAAAAAAAAAAAAAAAATTTTTATCGATAGCGTTACAGTTACATTAATGATATGCATTTTACTGTCATTTCCAAGATGACATTTAAAATTCACGAGTTACAAGAGAGGAGGAAACGAAAGGGGGGACAAATAATAACACGGCATCGCGTTAGTGCGTACATGATGACCACAGTGTCAAAAATATCTTTCGAGGTTGCGATAAACTTGTTTTTTTTTTTTTTTGTTTTTTTTTTCTATCGCGCTTTATTCATATTGATTTTCGCGAGTTTAGATAAAGGGAGAGATAACAAGCGTGTGACGATTAGCGTAAAACAGTCTTCGTCGGATTTTTACGATTAATTCTAAATTAATTAATATCTTCCCCATTCGCGACATTTATCTATTGTTAAGTGGTAAATGACGCTTGTGGAAAGGTCACGTGGAACTATTATGATTAACAAGTAAAAATAAACGCGATGACTTTGCGACGATAAAGTTCATAGTCGTTTCATAATAATACTCGTATTAATGGTCATCGTTGTTTAACTATATAGTTTATAACTTATTATGACTTATACATATAAGAACTTTTATTATTCACTTTATTACTATTCCTGCAATTATTATTTATCTTAATTGTTTGATTTATTTATTATATAATGTATATTTATTTGATATATTTGATATATATAATTCACAATATTTGCTTATCGTTAGTCGGCATTTAGCAAATATATTACATCTTGTAACATGTATGTAACGTAGGAAGAGATCGATAAACATTTACGTCTGTACACTACGTTGAATCCGGGTGCATTGAACTTCCGTTGTGTATACAGTGATGACGTAACCTTTAACCATCTATAATATAACATGCTTTATTTGATGTGCAAAAATTCTGTGCATATTATAATGATACAAAGTTCACATTTTTATTGCGCTACCTATAAAAAAAATTGATCTAACAATATTATCTAGTAAAATTAAATTTTATATCCATATTAAATTGTATATTAAATTCTTAATAATATTATATAAGATTTAAAAATGTTGCGGTTTTATATATTTTCTATTTAA